ATTAATAACAACACATACAATGAATTGAAACCCCGAGGGTCCCGCTTGCCATATATGTATGGCCTTCCAAAGACGCATAAGAAAGAAGTCCCTCTGAGACCTATGCTTTCGATGACCAACTCTCCCCAACATAAGGCTGCCCGTTAGCTTGCGGAGAAGTTGGAACCCCTTCGCCGATGGCTAGCCGTGCATACCACAAAAGACTAATTTCATTTCGCCGAAAGTGTGAATCACATGGACGTTTCAAATAAGTTGATGGCTTCATTTGATGCAACCTCCCTGTTCACAATGATCTCAGTCAATGAAACCATTGAGATCATTTGTCAACAGTCTGATCTTCTCCCACTACCAGAGCCAGAATTCAAACGCCTACTGCTAATGTGTACAATGGATGTACAATTCCAGTTTGACAACAGTCTTTACCGACAAATAGATGGTGTAGCTATAGGCAGTCCACTTAGCCCCGTTTTAGCAGATATCTTCATGTCAAACCTTGAGAAAACAAAGTTGAAGCATGCAATTGATCAAACAACTTCCTATTGTCGATATATTGATGACACATTTGTAGTATGCAACAACAAAAGTCATGCCTCCTATCTACTCAGATTATTCAACAACGCACATACAAATATTGTATTTACTATGGAACACGAAAATGATGGAAAGTTCCATTTCCTTGACGTCGCCATGCAACGCCTAGAAGATGGTAGTCTCCAGAGGTCAATTTACCGAAAGCCCACATGGAATGGACAATACTTACATTCTAGTAATTTTTGTAAAATAGCTATAAACGAGCACTAGTCAAGACTCTGTACTATAGAGCAAGGAGAATATGCTCTGCAGAGAAACTAGAAGAGGAGTTTACGAATCTCGATAAGGTGCTGAAAAACAACGGTTATCCTCAAAGATTCATTAACAAATATGGAAGATGTGAAGACTCAAATACCAAACAAATCATAATTGAAAGAAAGCCTGTCTTCATTCAACTAGATTTTAAAGGTGAAAACATTGCAGAAATGGTCAACAGAAGACTGAGAACGTCACTAGCCAGAGCCTATCCTGCAGCTAAGTTGGTCCCTAAATGTTCTTTGGTGCAGTCAAAAGTCGATAGATACCCTTCTCATGTTAACTCCAACTGTGTATACAAATTTATGTGTATCTGCAGGAGCAGTTACATTGGAAGAACACAAAGAAGGGCACACCTCCAATTTTCTGAACATGTGCCGAAAAGCCTACGTGTCAACGGAACAAACTCTTATAGTAGCGCTATTACCAGACATCTCCTCGACACAGGTCATGAGTTGGAAATCGAGAAATCCTTCAAAATTATCAATAGACAAAGGAGCTCCATACTCCTCAAGTTTGCCGAAGCAATTTCTATCAAACGCTTAAAACCAGATTTATGTGTTCAGAAAGAAGCAGTTATTAGTCTTACCTTGCCTTGGTAACTGGATGTCTTTTTTTCTCTCATCTGATTACGTAATCTTTGTCTTTAACCTCATCCTCCTTTTATAATCTGTAATTTTGCTTGTCTCTTGTTTCTATGATTTGAGTTCAACTCAGTACATTGTTCCCCAACTTATTAGTCACTATGCATCTAAAGCACATCTCACCATTATTACGCAACTCCTTTACCATTATATGCATATATTTATTGTGTTTAAACTTGAACTGCGTCAGGAAAAACTATATAAGCGCAATTTTCTGAGCACTGTTTACTAATTGTGGAACTTTCTGTCAACTGACAACATGTAAAATTTGCAAGTATGTTAAAACGTTTCTGTACTTAAACCTCAAAATTTATTTAGGCTGTAAGCAGCTGATGAGAAGCCAACGAAACAAATGATGGAAACCATGTTATTCTGCACAAACCACTGTTGTTCTCGCTTTATTCATATTCTGGTGTACAGGTGTGTTAAATAGACGTCTGTATTACTTGACTTGTGATTTCTGATATCTATGGTCGGCCTGCAAAATTTGGGCTACCGATATCCATGCTGAAAATTCCATACTTGTACCGAAAATACAGTGTGGAATCAAGCTGTAAATCAAAAAAAAAATAAAAAAAAAATAATAAAATAAGTCTCTATGTTCCAACAGAATAGTTGAGGTAAACCAACATTTCGACTAAGTATCACATGACTTTCACAGGAAAACGTTAAGGAGTATAGGTATTTCTATAAAGGCAAATTATGTACACCTTATCTTCAATGCACTATTTGCACAGATCTTTGTGTTGTGCTACTTCTGGCCTTCATACTGTGTTTCTTTGTATTCTTTTCAAGCCTTTCATGCATCTCCACACTCTGTATAATCTGCCTTCTCTGAAATCAAATCTATCTCCCTGGTATTTGATGCTTTTGTGCCGATGAACGTCTCTTTTTATGCTACTGATAAATCTTATCAGTAGCACTCACCATAATAGCACAAGAGGTGGTGGCGTCCAGCTCACAACATCTAGTCTTTTTAATTTGTTCTGAAATCAGCGTAGAAACAAAATCACTCTCTGAGATATACAATGACAACACAAAGTGAGACACAAATGAATAGAAACCAGTATTCTATATACATTAAATAGTGTCATCTAGGGAATTATTGTCGAGTTATTTCATTTTGAAGAGAATCCCTTCTGACAGTCATTAGTTTGAGTTATTTTCTCCCTAAAATTCAAAATTTTTATATCTCATGACTAACAGTGGTCTGAATAACTACCTTTTACAATTGTATTACACAATAGTAATTATAAGACACTTTATAACCTTCAGGATTTCATCATTAGCTGACATTGGTTAGAGAACCATTGGAAAACAAACTGGGAGTACTGGACAGCTGTCTCGTCCTAGTTTGGGACCCTTCAGCAGAACGCACCCACCACCGGGATTCGAACCCAGGACCTTCCGGTTACAAGGCGAGCTCGTAGACCATTACGACAGGCATCGTAATTGGTGGTTGGTCACTAGCAGTGGAATCCAGGATGCGCATTTCGCCCTATTCGGGACTCGTAAGCTGGATGTACCTGCATTTCTCACTGAATGATGATGTTCCCACCGCGGCTCTAACCCAGTGACCATAGTTTCAAGTGCCAAAGCGCTATCCACTAAACCTTTTGGGCCACAAGAGCGACCTCATATGCAACAGGTCATATTAATTTAATTGAATTTGAGATTTTCCCGTCGATTGATTGGACCGAAGTGCTCGGTCTCAGGTTGACATGACACAAGAAGCCGACATTTCAACCTGAGACCGAGCACTTCGGTCCAATCAATCGACGGGAAAATTTCAAATTCAATTAAATAGGCATCTTACTTAAGTTTACGGCTGTATGTTTCACTTCACTTCTGATAAGATTTTCAAAGCCAAATAGTTCAGCGTTGAAGTGTCGCTGAAATAATCGATTTTAGGACACAATTTTTATAGTAAATCTGAAATAGAATGTTTTATACAATTAACACTGAATTATTTTGATAAGGCACACATTTAAATAACCCATTAATCATCAAAATGTATTCAGTTTATTTCTTATTAAATAGACAGTATGACCTTACAAAAATGGTGGAAAAAAGTGATGCATAATGATCAGGGAAGATTCCACACATACATATTCTAGCATTCTTTAGGAGATAAGTAGTCTACATTCTGAGCCAATCTCCTTCTCCAGCTTCCTATTTGGTTAAATCTATTCGCTTATATGTAATTTACGGTAAATACAGTTTTCCTGTGTCCCCTTTCTCCTGTTCACTTCATTTTCAAAACTTAGATTTCCTATAAAGGGATTTGTGCTGAAGTAAGTAATCTTCACACGGATAGATAGATAGGTAGAAAACTAAATGCTCATTAAATATTCAACAGTCTTTTGTTATTAGGTAAAACTAAATTGATTATATGCACACATAGTGTAAAAGCGTTAAATAATAAAAAAAAGAGAGAGAGCTTGAGAGAATTCGTGAAAAGATGAGCTTTGGAGGACAGAAATGAGACTGAGAGAGTGAGCGGACATTTCATCTTTGTAATGCAAAGTGCAAGTAGAGTGTGTGCATACATGTGCCCAAAACTGTGCTTGTTTTTTTCGATATTGTAAGCCTAATTTCAATGGGTGACAATCAATCCTATGGCGTTTGGTTTTCCTTCAACAGTATAACCATAAGAGTAAGAGAATATATATATATATCGATGGGATGAATGTGAATTAGAACCCGGATAATTAGATACGGTTTAAGTGCAGCATTATGTCACGATGTCTTCGTGTATATGTGTGTTTTTGTGTGGTGGTAGGTGGTGGTGGGGATGTAGGGAGTGTGGGTGTTATATCCTACACTTTTAAGGGGCAACAAAAAGGAAGTATTTGCATATTTGATGGTTAACATCAACAAGGTAGTGAGTGAGTGAGTGAGTGAGTGAGTGAGTGAATAGTGGAACCATAGTAACTTGAACTGTTTGAACAGATAGATAGATGGATAGATTGGTTTACCTACATATAAATAGGTGAAACGAGTCATATAGGATTCTGTACTGAGCCTTATTTCTAGTGTTAAGAAATTACAATGTTATTTCATACCATGTTAAATAACACCAGAAATAACAGCAGCAATAACGATGCTCTTGACAATAATTTGAGTTATAACTCGTACTGTTTTGCTTCACAAGTAAAGAGTTTATCGGATCCTAACAAGTGAGTTAATCATGGAAACTGTTTGATTATTATTCTCTCTTTCATTTTATCAATAAATTACATCTTTAGCTTTTTTTTCCCCTTGAATTGAGATATGATGTACTTTAAACCTATTGAACAACAATAACTGAGATTATGACTGTTAGATGGTATAATTGTCACGATATTCTGTGACATCGTCTCCGACTGGATCCCTTAGTGAGATGGGTTTCATTATCATAAGGACCGGCAGTTGCCTCTTTCTTTCCTCTATTTTCTGAGTAGAACATAGGGCTTCAATATCGAGCTTCGAAATATCAGTAAAGCTTGTATTGTTCTTACAGGGTGAGAATGATAGCCTCACATCCAACCTTCCCTCTTTACCAGCCTTCCAGCCGGCTAGGGGCAAATGTACGAAGTATCATTCACTAGATCACAGGGGCCATTTAGTCATTTACAGCCTGAAAATATTTCAAATTACACCTCACTGACGAAGTCACTTAGCTTAGTAATCCCATTGCAAACTGGACTGATAGGATTCATTCAAATACCAGTAAACACTAGATACATGATACTAGTTACAATCCAGGTAGCAGTCGATGTAAATGCTATGACTAAATACCAAGTATATACGTGTTTCGTCCCAGTGTGTGACACATCAGTAAACGGTTATACTAAGACCAGAATAACAGCACATAATGGTGGAAGAAACAATATATCATCTCTGTAGTAGGTAACAGATTTAATACAGCTGAGAATATTTAAAATGTTAGTGTTTGGTCAATTGTTTTGTTAATTATTTAAGTCGAATTTTGATTTTCCCGTGACTGATTGAAGTGAAACGTTCGGCTTCTCTTGACATGTAGTAGTCAACTGGATAACGCTTAAATATTAGAAATGAAGGGTACTTATTCAAGTGTTGCTTTGTGGGGATTTGATTGGTTTCAGGATTTCATCATGAGCTGACCTTAGGGTGCAGCTGGTCGGGTGTGAGGACAAATACTCGCCGAAGACACTAGCTAGCGGTCGCGCTATGTCGTGAATTGGCAGAAGTTAGGATTCATGGACTGACCATTGGATCGGGTCCCAGTGGCTTAATGGTATACAAGCTCGCCTTGTAACCGAAGGTCCTGGTTTGAACCCGTCGGTGGGTGCGTACTGCTGAAGAGTCCCAAACTAGGACGAAACAGCTGTCCAGTACTCCCAGCTGGTTTTCCAATGGTTCTTAACTACTGTCAGCTCATGATGAAATCCTGAAGGGTACTTAGTTTGAAGCTTAGTAGGAACAATGTAACATTGAGGACTGCAGGTACATCCGACTGACGAGTCACGAAATGGGATGAAATGCTCATCCTGGATTCCATTACTAGTCACCATCCACCAAATTATTTGTTCATTATTCTTAAAAACCCATGAACAGAAATAACTAACTCTTTGTTTGATGTTAGTTAGATTGATTTTGTCTATATTTTTGCATAGAATTTGAAATAACTGTTGCATAGTTTTTAAAGATCTGGAGATGGTGAAAATGATATCACATTTCAGTTAAAAATGGTGATTCACCGTTATTCATATTTTTATTGAACATTTAAACCATCCAGCTCAAAGACAACGATAACTAGACCAGAGCAGTCAGCTGCACTGTAAATCACCTCTATTTGTCCATCACCATTTATCTGCACAGAGTATACATTTTTGACATTTGAAACACATTGAACCCATCTGCTATAGCGGGTTAGATTTTAATCTGAAACTAATCACCTCATAATATTATATGCCTAGTAAGCCGATGAAATGTTATTGAAATCCCAGATCAGTTAGTTCATCCAGTAAATTATAGTTAGAAAATGAATGTTTTAAAATACTTAACAAATCTTTCGAGTTAACTGGTGGATAATGACTAGCAGGGGGATCCAGGATGCGCATTTCGTCCCATTTGGGACTCGTCATCTGGTGTGCCTACATTCCGCAATGAGTGATGATGTTTCCACAGAGGCTCGAACCCAGTGTCAACTTGAGACTGAGCACTTTGGTCCAATCAATCGACGGGAAAATCTAAAATTGAATTAAAACCTTTCGAGTATATTCTATGCAAGCATGAAACAACAGAAACGTTACCTACACAAATTTTTAAAACTGATGGCTTTTTTGTACTCAGGAAAATTAATCTAACTATTTCTAGTGTCTCTTCAATGAAAACAGAATTCGAAAATATGTCTACTTTGTTTATCAATGATATTTTCGAGTAAAATCCAATTTCCATAGTAACGTTCATCTGGTAAAAGGTGTTATAGCTTTAAAGCTTAGTTTCTTGTTATACTGTAATAAACTTATCGTCTATATATCTTCTGTAGAATTCGAAATGCCAAATAACTTTGGGACTATTGCATTTGTTTACAATTTAGGTATGAAAATATAATCTAAAGGCTGACATTTCTAGAAATTTCACTTCTCAGAGGTAGAATATATTGCTGAAGCTAAAATGTACTCCAGAAATGCCTCCTAGAATCACTTTTACGATAACCTCGTGGTATCCCATTGTTTCTCCTATTAAGTTTATTCATAGGATAAGATAGTTTTAAACGCAAAAGGGCTAAATATTTGTACAAAATACCAATAAGTATATATCTGCAAATGATAAAGTTGAAATGGTGAACTAACCGTAGAAATTTCCAGTTTTTGAACTATTTGACAGTAGATTAATAAGCTACAGTGGATTTAGGTAAAATAAGACGTACTGGTTAGTCACAAATGACAGTTAGTTGATGCAAAACACGTCAGTCTTCCGTAATTACTAGTCTAGTTTTCATTCTTTCATTTCTCTCTATTTAACACATTTATACTCTAGTCTGTTAGGAGCTTTGAATTTCTTTCAATAGAATTCTACTCATCTATTCAGATGATTTCAAAAATTTTATTCGAACATTCTGATGCAGTTTAAATGGTGGATGGTGACTAGCGGTAGAATCCAGGATGCGCATTTCGTCCCACTTGAGACTCGTCATCTGGATGTACCTGCATTTCCCAGTGAGTCATTGTGTTCCCACTGAAGCTTGAATAAGACGAAATGCGCATCCTGACTGGATTCCACTGCTAGTCACCATCCACCAATTAAATTCTAATTAAATGCCCAAGACATCGTCGAAGCATCTACACAAGAAGCCGACATGTCAGTCTGAGGCCGAGCACTTTAGTCCAATCAATCGACGGGAAAATCTGAAATTCAGATGCAGTTTTATTAATAAACTTTAGTAAGTGATGGCCTACATATTTCAACTGTTTGTATAGACTTTGTTGAGCATATATAAAGTAAGCTTGATTCAAAGTGCAATATTTTTCCTTTTGAAATGCGGAAGATTTTTAAAGTCAGACTGAATACAGAAAAATGTTTGGTGTTTTACGGAATTCTGATCTGTTTATTGCGAGAACAGACTACATTTCATGCTTACCTTTCTACTGTCTTTATCTGTCTCGAAGTGATCTAAGCACTGAACACCTGCTATGCTCGTTTGGGTTGGAGGTCATCAGTGCTGTACTATGCAGATTATAAATATTGTTACCTGAATTTTCCGGTCGAACTGTGTAACTTGCAAATGTTAAATCCGATTGGCTCTTTATATTGATTACCTTATATGTGGGTTAACAGTTAACTAGTAGTTTATTCTCTGACCACTGCTCTTAGGATCAAAGATCTTAGAAACAACCAAAAAGATGTATAGGTGAATTTACACCACTACTATTATTACAGAAGACTTAATACTTTCTAGTTACTTATGACCAAGCCTATTACATCTGCAGTCAGTGTTTGAAACCACTTATGTTCACATAAATATGGAGCTTTGTCCAAGAGACTCGGTAAATGCCCCCCTGTTGAATTCAGGTAGATGTGAGCAGATTTTTATTAAACTTCAGTGTCTACACGTGTTTGAATGAACACAGGTCACAGTCAACTGACTCCCAGTGGTGGTTAGTGTTCTTGAGATGTTTACCACAAGAAAACTTTCAGAAGTAAAGCACTGAAACAAATTCTGTGGGAAAACACAAAACATATTTCAGTATTTGTCTCATTAGGGAAATATTAGTGTTATATTTTGGAAATTATGATATTTTAACTGATTAAAAATGCCCATTAAAATTTTCAAAAGAATGGATACTGAACAAAGAGTACTCTTTTCGATAAATTCATCATCAGGTTCTACATTTATACATACAGTATAGTGAATGAATGAATTAGTGTTATGAACAACATTAATTGCTGTTTAAATAACATCAAATCAATAATATTAATAGATTAAAGCTCAATAGAATCGACATAAAACAAGCTGAAGAATTAGGAAGGATAATATTACAAATTCATGAGTTTATAGCTTCTACTGAAGGCCAAGGCAATATCAGAGGCTGGACTTGCTTGTTTTTGACACAGAGTGCTGGTTGTTTGAGGCGAATCGCAATAGCCTGTGCTGTTTGGAGCCTGCGCTGCTTCGATGTTTTTCGTAATTTATTTGGCACCCGGTATAATATAGAGAAGGATTCTTCTACGCTGGCTGGCTTTGTGGCCGGTTTGCACCAGATGTTCCAATATCGAGCTGTTAATAGTTTTCACTACACCTTTACTTAGCCATACTGGGAGATGTTCTCGAGCACCAAAAATCAAGTTCCTAGAGCAACGGCCAATATAACTGGCTCCACAAGCGTAGTTGAATTGATAGATACAATTAGGAGTGGCTAGTCTAGGTACTTTATCTTTCAGTCGAGGAATCACTATCGGTCGTGTTGAGAATAAGACGTGTAGTTCGCCAGCAGTAAAAGTTCTTTGAACTGATTTTTTAATTTTTCACAACTATCTCGCTTGGTATATCACCCATGAAATTTGTTCAGTATCCATTCTTTTGAAAATTCTGATATTCCTATTAAGTTATAAAAGATGATAGATTTTAGGTAGTAAATAATCTGCTCAAACCCTTTGTGAAGGCAATTCACACTTAATAAAGCCTCTTGGAACAACACAAATCGAATTTGTCATTCATAAATTACACAGATTGAGGTGAGAATACATATTCAGATCACAGTATATGACCTTTTTGATACTATAAATGGCAGTTAAAAAAGCTAGCGAGAGAGCATGATGGTATATACTACTAATTGATGTAAGTAGTTAGAAAGGACTCACATGTAATAGTAGCGCTTACTAAATGTGTAGTTTGATTGTTACAATTGTCAATTCACCCAATTAGCTAGACATAGTTTGGATGATTTGAAGTGATTCAGACGTTTCTGTTAGTGAACTTATCTGCAAAATGATTAAAATGATTGTCCTTTGCTTGAATCACTTCATCCGACTAACAAGTAATACCATTCGATGTGTGGGGTTCTCAACTACTCACATCTATCAGAAGGTGTACCAAAGAGAATAAACGTATGCTTTATGTACTGAAGTGTATTTCAGAGTTTGAAAAGGAAATCAGTTTCCAGGCTGTTAAACAAGGCTAAGGTCAATATTTCTTCGTTTTCTTTCTGATTTTATTACTGGTACAGTGTCTCGCCTTTTCTTAATAAAGTGAGAATTGTTTATGTTTAATAAAAGCTGAAATATTCGAACCTACTTTGAATAATAAACTGATCCATTCTGACCATCATAATAACTGAAATTCAAAATATTCAAACCGTCAGCTTTCCTGTGCTTTATTTCTATATATATTAAAGTGACTGTTCTTTAAAATATTATCTTTCCAAATTTAGCATTTCATTAGCCTCCAGTTTATCA